GGATAAATTCCTGTATTCTCTCCTTTCTATGCACAGTTCACTCATTGTTGTAATCACATACCAAAACTTTACTATAAATTTAATAAAATTTAATATAATTCCTAGGCACCAAAAACCAGTTCTTACTAGCAATGTTGGCGGCAAAGCTGTTTTTTTTAATTTTCGTAAGCCTTTGCTGGTTATGTACATATCCGATTGTCTGAAATGAGCCGAGCAAACAAATTTGTATATTTTCAGGATAAAATGTTCTTCTCGTCGCGATTCAGCTATTATATTTCTCCATAGTGAGCAAAGTATAGGTAAATATATCTCGAGGAAAACTGAAACAAATACATTTATTATGCCATGCCATAAGAAATGTACCGATGTTTCGATTTTTTTAAATTCAAATTTAACGTAAAGCCAAACTATCATAATCCTGAAAACCGATTCATAATAAAACCGTTATGCTTTAGGGAGTTTTGGATACTTATTACAAAGAAAAGACTAAGTTAGCTTAGGTTTGTTTTGTAATATTCTAGAAAAAAACCTAAAAAAATATTTTCGGGATTATGGAAATCCATGCAAACGTTATTTCGGGCAAATGTATTTTCGGTCTTCTGATTCGTAACCCCAAGTTAATACTCTATATACTAGTGCATAAAATAACACTTTTAAATGATAATTATGATAACACAATGTAATACTTACTGAAAATATTTTTACTGCCTCCGTGGCCGAACGGTTACCATGCCGGACTGCCATGCAGAGGTCCCAGGTTCAATTCCCGGGTCGGGAGAAATATTTGTATGGCCTACATTTATTTCTCTCGTGAGTTTGGATGTAATTTGTGGTTGTCTACGTGTGTGTCCATGGCACCCGCGACACAAGGTTTCCCTAGTACGGGGCTATGTTGAGTGTGTACGTTATTATTCTTATAGTGATTTTTGGGGATTTTGAACAATTGGCATTGGCAACGCTGATTGTACTGAATGATGTGACTTAATATGCAAGGTTTACCACCTCCACCAGATCTTTTAGTATTCTTTACTTTATCCATTTTGCATAAACTCTTACAACGTCCAATAAAGTAAAAAAAAAAAAAGTAGTATGTTTTTAAATAAAATCTACTGAAGACGCGCTATAACGTGTTTGTCAATAAGTACAAACACTACAGAATGTCTATAAATTAAAATATCTAGAATATACTTAGGAACACTAGTTTTTAGAGTATTAATAGGCTTTACTGGATGTGTATAGAACAATTTTACTAAAAATAATCAGTTGTTCTACAGATGAACTTTAAATAATGATTATAAGAGTAAATCTTAAGAGAGATTACACTTAATTAAGTTGTTTGGTATTGAGAAGGTTTTAAAATTTGGACGTGAGTGAAATAAGTCTATAAGAACAATTTCTTTTTTCTAAAACCATTTATAGAGAACTATTATCTAAATCTATACCATATTAAGACTGTTTATAGATATAACAGTTTTAAGGCGTTTAAGGTGTGCTCCTTGGGTTCTCTACTGTAAAAGGTTGCTTTGTATACAAACTTTAAAATTGTTGAGTTTCTCATAAGAAACCTTTTGTTTACATACAAATAAATATCAATAAATTTATGTCGCACAAAGAAATGACGTTTTATTTCGATTCACGTACATTTATTATGAAAAAAATACTAATATATTATATTGTTTCTGATATACAAATGACTAAATGTGCTCCGAAGAATAATTTCATAGGCAAATTGATGTACAAAGTGAATTGCAAATGAACTTCATTCGGCTTTGAATTTGTTCGTAAACATGAAATACAATCTGTTATACTCGAAACAGAGAAATCTTATTTCTAGAAAATATTATTGTTACTAACATTACATCGAAATATCGGAAATATTACTAATAATCTGTTTTCTATGAATCGCTGCAAGTCATCGTTGCAATTGCAATTAATTGAATCAGAGTGTAGGAAAGGGGGTACTAAAAACATTACCTAGAAATTAATTTCTCGGTACCATGAAATGTACGTATATTTTCCTCAAGGTAATAAATATTATTAGAAAGAGAAAATTTATAAATTAGAATCGTAAAAGTTTATTAAAGTAAGAACTACAAAAACTATCTCAATCATTTTTATATGCCAAAGCGCAACAATAAATCAATTATGAATTTTAATTTACATATACGCATAGTATTAGTGTAATAAAGTGAGTACTCAGACATAGTGGATGCATATCTTTTCAATATTTTTTTATAAAATTATAAACTCTGAAATGAGAAACACAAAAATATGTTTTAAAGAAATGTTTGTTTTATTGAATGTTAACATGAAGCATCAAATATTGGCAAGTAACCACATCGGTACGATTTATTATATCCTCATGATACACACGCAATAGTTTACTTTATAAAAGTTGCTATTTTGAGAACATTTCCACAAATATTTCTCTTGGATTCAGGGTTCGCATATCGCCGTTGCGGCGAAGGTGGACTCTGGCAGGGCAGGAAGATAGGTGAAGAGAGCTCACTGGGCTGGACAAATTACACTCCATGTTTTCCATCAGAGGTCCAGATTTTGTTCGTTAAGGTCTACGAGCATGACAACGACGATCAAGCCAAGGTAAGCACAATGTGTACTGTATGTTTAAATGTGCTACTTATCAAACTATGTTTTTTAATTTTCCTTCAAAAATATAATATACAGGGTGTAATCGATAAATGTCCCCAAGCGTTTATTCCAAAAATATAAGAGATATCAAAAACCTTCAAAGCGATATCGAAAGCCTCTGACCAGCACTGCAGCTGTAATGACGTAATGACAGGCCTGTCGCTTACCACCAGGCCCACGACGTAATGAATAAAACAACATCAACAACTCATTCATTCAACAACATTCTTACACTAGCGTCACAGTACATTTATGAAAATTTATGTTAAGAGGAATAGTAATTTCTTTATGAAACATAGTGACAGACATAACATTAATACGAGGAATAAAAATAAAGTAGTTGTTCTTGATAGTCGTCTTCACAAAGTCACAAATTCATTCAAGGGGCAATGCTAGCTTCTATAACAAAATTCCGGTTGATATACAAAATTTGCCATTCACGAGGTTTAAAACTATAGTGAAACGTAAACTTTATACTAAAGGTTATTATATAACTTCTGCGTACTTGGACGACAAAAATTCGTGGGAGTAACCCGTTTAGCTCATGGAGGTAGTCTCGATCTCTGATGTTTGAAAGCAAAAAAAAAAATATTGTAAATGTTGAATGTGTTCAGGTATTGTTTACAAAGAGCAACCCCTAGAGTTTCTTGCTCATTCTTCTCAGGGAAATCTGTCTTACGAATGAGCGGGTAGAGTTTAACCAATGTGACGATTTCAAGTGTAATAATGCTTACCTAAAAAAAACATTTTTATACATTCGGATTCAATATCAGCTACTCGTTTTAAATATTTATCTCGGTCAACCTGTTACCCTGTATTTACCTTCGTGAGCGGAGAATTCGCGTCGTTTCTGACGGCAGCATTTCGAGGTTCGTGAATGTGAACGCCGGCGTACCGCAGGGATCCGTCCTATCTCCCACGCTTTTCCTTCTGCATATCAATGATATGCTTCCACTTGGGAATATTCATTGTTATGCAGATGATAGCACTGTTCATGGGGGATATCACGGATTCCCCGCAGCTGGGCGCGCCGATACTGACAGAGAGCGATCTAATCTTGTCGGTGAGCTCAATAGGATATTGGACCTCATCTCTGCATGGGGATCTAGAAATCTTGTTGAGTTCAACGCCAAGAAAACACAGATTTGCGCGTTAACAACAAAATTGTCGCCGTTCCTTCCCATGCCTTCTCTGATGAGCACAGCACTCTCACCTCAGAGCAGTTTTACCTTGCTCGGTATGGAAATCTGCTGTGATTTGAATCCAAGGAGCTACATCGAATCTGTGATCAAAACCGCCTCACGGAAACTCGGAGTCCTGAACAAGGTGCGACGTTTTTTCACGCCGGACCAGTTATGCCTGCTGTACAAAACACAGGTCCGGTCTTGCGTTGAGTATTGTTCGCACTTGTGGGACGGCTCCGCCAAGTACCTACTCGATGCCTTGGATAAATTACAGCGTCGTGCTACTCGAATTATAGGCGACGAAGAGGTTTCATCACGCCTTGAACCTCTGCAACTGCGTAGAGATGTTGCATCGCTTAGCGCCTTTTACCGCATGTACCATGATGAGTGCTCTGAAGAGCTGTTCAACCTCATCCCCCCTTCCCCGTTCCTGCTCAGAAGCACGCGTGCTGGCCTTCGTAGTCACCGTTTCACTACCTGCCGCATTCCATCGCGTACTAAAAGGTTTGGTGGCTCCTTTCTCTGCCGCACGGTTGACAAATGGAATTCCCTTCCGGCACATGTCTTCCCTCCCTCTTATGATATGGGGTCCTTCAAACGAGGCGTGAAGAGGCATATTGTAGGCAGGCAGGGTGGAGGTGGCTAGTGCAGTGAGGGTTTCATCGCTGCACTAGGTTCCTTCACGTTTGGATACCACTTTCCACTTAACATCAGGTGGAGTGGAGTCATTTGCCTGTCATGTATAAAAAAAAAAAAAAAAAAAGAGTATTCGCGTATACACACTTTTTTTTTTTTTGACGGGGGAAATCTTTATGGATACCCCTGGGCCCAGGGAGACTCAGGGGTTATGTGGGGACTCTCCCTCCACACTGGAAGGCCTACACGGCATAGCATGGCGGCAACCACCCTCGGCAACGAGAGGTCCTGCCCTATAGTTCCCGTCAGAGTGCGGCGCTGCTCATCCCACCGGCTACACACCTCTAGGGTGTACTGCGCGGTGTCATCCGCAGCGCCGCACTCGTGGCACGACGGTGACGGTTCCCTCCTCGCCACCTTGTGCAGGTAGTGACCGAAGCAGCCGTGCCCGGTCAGCACCTGCACAAGGTGGTACGACAGTGGCCCGTGGGACCGGTTTACCCACTGTACGAGGACAGGGCGAATCGCCTCTATGGTACGAGCACCATAGGGGGGATCCGCCAAGCCCTCTTTCCACCGGTCCCGCATGCGCTGCGCCGCGAGGCGGCGCTCCCGCTTCACCTCTTGGGGAGCGGGTCGCTCGCCTCGGTCCCTCATTCCCCGCCGGTAGGTGCGGACCTCCGCCAGGACCTCGGCTTCGAGGTCCCACGGCGGAGTACCGGCGAGGACGCATGCGGCAGCGCAGGCCACCGTCATTTACGCCCTGCACATTCACAGGGCGACCACCCTCTGGGGCCCCACTCCAAATGGGAGCCCCGTATAAGGCCATACTCCGGGTCACCCCGGCGTATAGCCTTCTGCATGGGGCTCCCGGCCTCCCGAGGTTGGGCAGGAACCTGCCCAACGCCGATGCGGCGCCCACTATTCGGGGAGCAAGTAGGCACACTTGCACCCTGTGTAGGTGCCAATATATCTAAAGTAAAGTCAGAAATGCTAACATGCGCGTACGCGAGTGCTACGCTAACGAGAGTGCACTTTTCATACACTATTTGTCGTCTTCACGAAAGCTGTCTGATTGACTTTACCATAATTTTATAATAGAATTCAAAAGCAGAATTCCTGGCAATGTTGACCGAGTAAACAAGCTGGAGAGCTGGTGTAATACTATTAACAAAACCCACATTTTACTGTATTTCTCTCTAATACGATTTAAAAATCTAATGACTACACAATAACATTCGAATGAAAATTGCACAGTACGTTCTCGCACAGCCTCTTATCATGGATAGATGAATAATTATTAACAGTTAATTGACTTTAGTGAAACATGTAGGACGCAATAGTCTTAATAGTAAAAAATCATTTAATTAATAAAGCTAACCGCTATGACACATTAAAATTAAAATGATTTTATTTGACACGCAATACAGTGAAAAATACAAATTTATAATAAAATAAACATTTCAAATTCAGCTACAGAAACTATGAAGCCCTCGCTTCTCTTATCTTCTGATCACACAAAAAATATTAAACACTCTCACACACCTGAGTAAAAAAGTTAAAATTAAAATTCCAAAATGTTGACTAAGAACAACACATATGACACAAATAAATTATACGAAACATTGTGAGCATTTTTGTCTGAATGTTGAGAACGTTTGAGATACTGAATAAAACTATGTATTAAGAACATATTAAGAATTAGAAAGTAACGTTGCACACTCCGATCCATTAAACTTTGTAGGTTTGGAATTAATTAATGTTACGAGTAATATTTACTTTTAAAAATAAAATAACGTCTTCATGAAGCAAAATATCCTATCTACAATATTTAAAGCACTTTTCCACGCTATATTTTTTTCGTTAATTTTTATGACCCATAAGGTTTCATTTGTAAAATAAAACTTTGTACTTAAAAATCGCTATGCCAGCATACCAATACTCTTCCAATGTTCGTACTATTCCCTCGTCCTTGCACACTCACACATTATATTTATACATTTAATATACAAGGCGTATATTCAAATCACACACACGGAGGGAAAGTACCTTAAATACCGTAGGTAGAAAATTTTACTGAAAGAAGACTTCATTTCGTTTTTAAAAACAATTCAAACTGCATTCAAAGATTTTTAAATAATAGCCTCTCTGAACCGAGAATTGAACCCGCCAAATGTGAAAAACATCTGTAAGTGTACATATGTACTTCTCGAGTCTCAATCATAAGCATTGTTTTTTTCTAAATAACCTACCATCTTAAATAAAAGAAAGACTAAGAAATTTAATTAAAATTTCTTAGTCTTCCTTTCTGTAACGTACAAAATCTCACCCTTTTCATAATTTCGCTTACGTTGATTTATTTATGTTTCCATGGTGAATGTTTAAAATAATAAGTCTAAGTTCAGTTTGTAACTCCTGCACACTCTCATACTGGTTCCTGTAAACTATATCTTTACATTAATTAAATTTTTTTTTTTAATTGATATTCAATTATTTTTTGTGAAATTACTCCACTAGTTTGTTATAATTATTAATACAAATATCGAACACTGAGAAAAAATTCCTTCGATCCGGTCGGATTCGAACCGACGTCTTCTTGCATACCGTGCCAGACGCTATACCAACTAAGCCACGGAACGAACCAACGGACCTCACGAATTTTTCTATGTGCTTGCGTCGTGTCTTTGTACTTGGTCTTTCAACGACTTTTTAGTCGTAGCGCCATCTATGAGAAATCTATTGCAGATTTATCACCCAGTTAGTACCTTTACAGCTACCAGTCCTGGCGAGAGATGTCGCTATTCATTGTATTAATTAAATTTTTATTGAATTGATATTCAATTATTTTTTGTGAAATTACTCCACTACTTTGTTATAATTATTAATACAAAGATCGAACACTCAGAAAAAACACTCAGAAAACATTCCTTCGATCCGGTCTGATTCGAACCGACGTCTTCTTGCATACCGTGCCAGACGCTATACCAACTAAGCCACGGAACAAAATCGGTTTGATGGAAGAAAATAAGTCGGCTTTCGGCTTCACTCGGGCGATTTTTGAACCAATTACCCACCAAGAAGAGTATGTTGATGGGTAATTGGTTCAAAAACCGCATATTGGAAAAATACAAATTCAAGTTTGAATTTGTATTATTATTATATATTATATATTTATATGATATATTCTTCAATGTGCGGTGTATTTGCTTCTTGAAATTCCAATTTCTTCTTCACCTTCCTTTACTCAACTCTTCGAGTTCGCCTCAAAGTAAATCAAAATGTCGAGTTAATCATTGTTAACGTTTGTCATTTGGTATTGTGGCTGGGCGAAGCGACGGTTTATAAAAATCCAAATTATTTTCAAATTATCCACCAAACTTTTCAAAACAAATCGAGACGATGTTTCTCTATCGGGATATCGTTCGCGATACCACTAATTATATGTTTTTGTGTTTCCTAAAGTATGCTATCATTTAATCGAAATTATTTTCATACGCCATGGTAAGTAAATTCACACAACAATTGCAATGCAGGAAATCGAAAAAGAAATTTCAAATCCGATGAGGATATGAAAAATGCCTTTAAACAGCCAAGATTTTTATACCAGAGGCATCAATGAACTTCCATTTAATAAATAAAATAGTCGACAATATTGATCAATACTACTTGGATTAATTACTTATATTTTTCTTTTTTTTTAGTTCTCTGTATATGAAACGGCATTTTTAAGTAAGGAAGTACGGAAGTACGGTAAGGAGTAATGGATTATAGGTACTGTAGGATTTTGTGATTATAAAAACTTGTTACGCATTTAAAATTTATAATCAAAGGGATATAATAATATGTTTCTGCCATGAGTGGTCTTTAGTGAACGATTCTGGTGACAGTAGGCCCGCACAGCGTCTTTTTCACTACCAGCATTTTAATTCAAGGCCTTATTTAGAAGTCTAGATTAGTAAATTTCGTTCTAAAAAAAATTATTGCCCATGAATCGAAATCCGTATTATCTGATTATTACGATACCACTCCATTTTAGTACCTAGCGAGCTCTAAGCTAACCTGTCTCCGCCGCCAGCAGTAATGTAAGCATTACGGCGTTCCGGTTTCGAAGAGCAAGGGTGCTGGTGAAATTACAGGCATATGGGACTTATTAACTTACGTCTCAGGGCGACGGGCACAGTCGCAGTGCCCCTAATATCTTTGCGATTAAAAGCTCTGAGTGGCACCGCCACTGTCACGGATAGGCGTCTCGCTTACTACTAGGCGTATGACTTGTTCGTCCCGTCACTTAGTATTACATAAAAAAAATCTCGTTTTCCCTGTCATGCATTCACACATACAGATTACGAGCCCTGACCCCTGAGCCCTGACCTTAGGTGGGGTCGGGCTCGGCCTGCGGCGCGTGGTTCGATTGAGTTTACGGGTGTGCTCATGCTCTTCAGTGGCACAGCAGTTACTAGGTACTACAAGCGCTCGATGAGGAGGTCGATTCCCGATTTGGGCCAATTTAAGAAACGAACATTTCTAAGTTGGTTTCGGTCTGAGTATTCTGGGTTATCGTTCTTTTGGTATTCATAATACAGGAAATTCGGCAGTAGTTTGGCATTTTTCCCCCTAAATATTTCTCTTTGGCGTAGCTTTCAAGAAAATGGAATATAACAGAGAGACGGTTGAGATACAACAACGCTATAATAAGTATCTCATTTCCACTCTATCGGGAAGTACGCCTTACATTTTTACAATTGAGAGATCTTGTACTCGTAATCTATTACGCCTGCATATAATTACCTCCTTACGACAGCGCCCGTATGCTTCTGGCTTCGCCCTCCGTGGACCTCGGCGTACGGCCTCGGCACTTATGACTTTGTTTAAAAAAAAACAAAGAAATAGCTCTTTAATTTCGGCCATATTTAAAAATTGCAAAAATATATTTTGACCACTAATTTTTATCAAACAATTTAGAAATCTTTTCGTGCCAATTTTCAGTCCAAACAAAGCAAGTTTTTTCAAAAGCCATTTACATAAAAAATTACGGCCATGTCGAAAAACAAAACAAAATTTTTACCCCAAATTATGATTGAAGCTATGCCATTTTCAGTCGAATTACAAAATAGAGACACCGACATGTCCATGTTCAATCGAATTAGAGCAAATCTTTACTGCTGTTAAAAAAGTTTATATGACAGCCATATTGAAAAAAGACGAAAAATAAATTTTGACCGCAAAATACTATATTATATTGCGCCGCGAGATAGTTTGTATGAAATTTAGTAAGTACTATTGAAATGCATTAATTGGCACATGCCATTGGCAGCATTGGCAAATTATGCTCGCGCGCTAGGAATTAATTTTTTTTTATATAATTTATTTATCTTGGAGGTGTATCCTCCAACAGCTTATACAACATAATACAAATTGAAATAACAATAGTAAGCGAACAGTGCCCACTGGTAGAAGGTAAGTTACCTAATAATATTAATAATAATTATATAAATAATAACTAATAATATATACTGACTACACGGTCAGATAAAAAAATGAGTTGACAAAACAGCAAATGCGTCGTCGTGGTAGTATAAAACAGTATATAAGTAGATCATACTCTGTTAACCAATTTAAAAAGTATTAATATAATAATAATACACGCCAACAGAAAATTCATAAAAATACATTACGTCGGGGATAATGCAAATAAGCGTATGTAGTATTGGTAAAATGCGCGTGTCTGCATCAAACCAAACTTCACAAGAGAGGGATTTAACGTTATTGCTTTGTTATTTAAATGCCTACAACTTTCATTTTTGCTCAGTAAGTATTAATTTATGTTGTCTACGGACTGATAACAATAGATTCCCGTAAATCACGCTAATTTGGTTGCCACGAAATTTACGCGGATTAGATTTGGCGACTAAATTACTGAAATGGTGACTCATAATAAATGCTAGTTACGCATAATTGCGATATTCCTGACAATTTATCACATCAGGTACAGACAAAAAATTAACAATAAACAATATTTGCTAAATTACTTCGTCACTAAAAATGAAGAGACAGCAAGTTCTATACTGATGCATAACTTGTCTTGAATAATCTTATAATGGGTTGAAAATTTGTTAAAATTGTTATTGAAGCAAGAATTAATGATTGAACGATTTGCCTGGTTGTCAGTGCCTAATTTTACAACAACGATAATATAATTAATGTTTTTTTGTCCTTTAGCTCAAATTTGAGATCGCACAACGAACCCGACATATGGAGATCGTCGGTTTCAGCATTTCGTTAGTGGCTTTAACAATTTCTCTCATTATATTTTCACACTACAGGTGAGCGGTTAATATTTATTTGTGTCTTGTTTTGTGTTAGGATTTAAGTAATATTCACATTGACAGCAAGAACTTAATTTTTTTTTGTTTATTTTATTATCACATAATGTATATATGCGCCAGAATATTCTTAACAGCATTTCGGTGTAATTGTTTCAAATGCTGTTAAGGATATACTGTCAAAATATAACTGTACCGATATTATCAATTCAATTAAAGATTATTATTTCATAAATAGTCTTTATCATAGACACGCGAAAATTATTGTAATTCACAATCGAGTGACATACGTAACTATTTACCGAGTTCTTAGATTTTCGCGATTGTTATACATAGGACATGAAATTATTTCTCCGACTTTAAATCGCTATATGTATATATATATATATATGTTTTTCAACCGTGACCTTGGGACCTGTAAAGGGCCCGAAACGTTGGCTTGTTTGAAAAAACAAATATACGCGATTTAAATCCGGAAAAATAGTTTCATTTCATACCTATTTTTTTGTAAAAATAGTTAAGAAATTACAAAATAATTCTGAATGTTATCCACCTTTGTCGTGGCTTTCGCTCTTCGTTAACTTTATTTTGCTTTGACAAAGTAAAGTACAGTATTTTAATTAAAGACTCAGGTAATTTGTAGAACATTCTGTGCCTCGCTGTAAGTCTGTAAAGGTATAAATCGGTGCCAACCCATTGATTATTGTCACACATCACCCATTAAAAAGACAAATGTTGAGAGCACCACTATGTATTAAACTTTGCACCGACGACGCTCGGTATCGAGCAAGTCAGAGGCTATGGATAACGTTATGTAAGTTTGGTGTATTAGAGGATATAAGCTAAGAAACACCCTAGTACATCTTGTAAACAGATTCTTTTGTAACACTTAAATTAAAATTGAAAACAAACACCTATACACATATATACATTTATTTATATGTTTAACATTTGTAAATTGACAGACAAAAGTCCAAATCGCTACAAACAAAAAAACATCGAAAAAAAATTAATAAAATAAAATAACCATAATACATTTCACAGAACTGAACTTATAGGCACCATTTGTTCAAATATTTTCCTACATTCACTCATCAGACATCCAATCGTGCTATCAAATAAATCAATATGTGGTAGAACAGAATTGAGGAGGCACATCAACGAATTGTAAAAAGTCAATCATCTATCGACTTACTCCACGACTTACTCCAATCCAACGACTACAAACTCGGCGTGTCTATCGTACTGCTTCTGTGGCCGAACGGTTACCATGCTGCTCTGCCACGCAGAGTTCCGGGTTCGATTCATTTCATCATCATTCATCGATACATTTATTTCTCCCGTGGGTTACCTATCAGTAGTCCGAAATGATATTTTCCAGAAATAACGTTTGCTCGAATTTTCATAACCTGGAAAGTAATTTTGAAAGGATAAATATATTTTCTTTTAAACCTAACTTAACCTAACCTAACCGAATCTAATCATGTCTTTGCGATAAACATCCAACGTACTTGTATCCTGAAGGAACAATGGTTTCGTTTTACTTCGGTTTTCGGTATAATGAAAATTCGAGTTTGGGTGTAATTGGTGGTTGTGTATATGTATGTCCATGGCACCCGCTATACGGAGTTTCCCTAGTATGGGGCTTTAAAAAAATAGAGTCCAAAAGCAATAGGTCTGATATATGTGAGGATTTGGGTAGTCTACAGACTGTCATGTTTGCAGCATCAGATCAACGTTACCCTGTTATTGTAAGGTTACAATGTCACTGACACTGAATAATAAAGTCCACAATTAAACAAAAGAAACTATGTTCTTGTATAATAATGACGTGAATATAATTGCAAAATGTATTGGGACATAATTATACAAGACAATTATTGCCCAGGAAAAATAATTCAAAGAAATATCAAGAACTAAATAGGCTTAAAAATGTGGCGTCATCACTTTGACGGAAGGCAGGCAAGGAAATTTGGTTAAAGTTTTCTTAAACAAAATGAAACAGCACTGGGCTTCAAATTACGTTGGTAAAGTATCAAAAAACGAGTAGTATAAATCACAAAATTACATGTTTGTTGCGACAAAATTGATAGTATAGAATATCTGCAAAAAATTCAACTATAAATAGGATATTAAAATACAGAGAAGTCTTTCAAACCAACTTCAATTAAAAAATTTACCATTAATTCTTAACGAAAAATAGAAGAAATTGTAAAGATGGAACAACAAGCAATGAATAGTTTCATATACGGAAAACATACTTACAACTGAATATTATGTACGACATGTACGAATATACCAGTATTCATCCAATGATTTAGTACCGATTACCATCTAAGTAACTTATAATATGAGTTACAATATTAGTTATCGTTTTAAGCACATATATATTCTGAAATAAGTCATGTTGTACTATTACGACCATAATGCGTTTCAGTAAATTTATCGTGACATTATTGCAATACTAACCAATAAATAATACTGGCATGTTTTTTATTCCTTTTTTATACATGAAAATAGCATCCTCAAATATTAAAATATATTGTAATTTAAAGTAAAATTGTTGAAAAAAAAATATTCAAAGTTACTGTAAATGATACTAAAGTGATGTAAGTTGTGTAACCCACTTTAAATGTGGGTTACACAACTTTTGCGTTTATAGATTTATTTGATGTTCCTCCATGTTGATCCTGATGTATGCAGTCAATGTTTAATTTCACATTATTGTTTGTAGGTCTCTTCGCAACAACCGCACACGGATTCATAAAAGCTTATTCATGGCTATGGTAGTCCAGGTTCTAATTCGATTGACAGTATACATAGATCAAGAGCTCGTCAGAAGCGTAGAAGGAGATGAATCAAATTACGAAAACGCTACACTTCGCGGTATTGATAACATGGTGAGTAAATAGCTATAGCACTGTTCACACGCTGTCAATAATTTTGTATATTTAATAAAGCATTATAATTATCGAGGAAATTAGTTAAGTACTTGTGATCCGAACATTATTAGTACACCAAGAACCGTGCATATTACGTGACGACCTCTAGTACATCTAAGTCTTTAATGAGAACATGTAAGCCTGTGTATAATACGTACTTATGTTGTACCGTATAATGCGTACTTATGTTATGTTGTACGTGTACATATTCACCCGCAAATATTGTTTCTAACAGTGTGATAGTACAGCTTTGCCTGTTGTACATTCATTCATTATTATAAATGAATAAGTTAATCATTCCCTTGTATCGACACAGAATTTTGTTTAGCTAAAATATCTGTAGTGTCCGTGTATGTTCTTACTAAATCTGCAGAATTGAATGTAATTGAAAAGGATTCGGTACACTCTGAGATGAAATCGAAGTTCCAAAATATAAAAAACAACTGTCACTGTCAAAGTGACATTTCACATCATTAACCTTTTTTTCGGCTCGTTATTTAACTGGTTCCACTCTTCATATTACGAATAATAATTATGATGAAAAAAAAATCTTTTGGGTTAAATTACTTACAGCACTTTTTAGGGTTTTAGTGTCTTCAAATATTATTGATTGAGAAATTATGATATGAAGAAAAGAGAAGGGCCTGGGCCCTTGGAAAAGCTATTCCATACACGGCGCCAAAAACATAACTCAATTTTTTTTAGATTATGAACATAAAAACTCTGTTTAGTTTTGTGTTTGATGTCAGTAGCTAGCTAACATGTCATTGCCTATATTATTTAAGGCGAAAATAGGGTTGAATAATGTATTTCATGTATAGGTAAACTTAAAGCCTATCAGTTGTTTTTTTGGTATTGTTTAAAAACTATTATAAGGAAGTATAACTCATGCAAGACACGATGCATATTAAGCAAGAAGCACATTCGACAACAACAAGCACCTGAAACCGAATGACCAAAATCGCGACAATGCAGCTCGGCCTGGTGGGGTTGCAAGCCAATGACCTGACCCGATGTCCATCCCTATCGATCAAAAACTGACTTTTTATTTTTGTTATTACCTAATTGTAATTAAAACTATTTAGTAATAAATCAACTTAGTATCTTTTGTTATTATTCTTAATAAAACATAAAAGTAATAGTGTTACATCAATAAAATATTGTTCATTGCGCTTAGATTTAAAAGTATTTGTACAAAAATTAATAACTGAATAAATGAAAAGGGCAGCCAAAGGTTTTTGCATCCCCAATAGGATTAAACATCTTTAACCTGGAATCAATTTTTTAAACTTATCTTACTAAATACGTTGTTTTAAATATAAGGTTTTATAATATTTTGTTTGTAATGCACGCAATTTAAAAACAATATAAAACAACTTGCATTAATTTTTAGACCTTTTTAATTTAACACTAAGTCATTTTTAGTTTTTTGTAATGGCATCACCTTTGTTTACATTTTGGGACTTCGATTTAATCTCAGAGTATACATAATATGTCATTGCAAGATAGAATGAGACGTTATTTGTTGAAAAATAGTTTCTGTAGTTCAGCGCTTAAGGCGTAGTTTCGCGAAATTAGGTAAATTCCTATTGAAACTTTGAATACATTGACCTAATTTTTTTAATCTCCTTTTTTACCAACATACTAAAAAGCTATATTCACCGTAATCCGATATACAGCACTTGATAACTATATTGTTTTGCATCAAAAAGAAAAAAAGAGAAAAATATTTTTTTTATTATCCTATGCAATGCAGCCAATGAAGCAATTTTGTAGGGAAAGTGTTTTTTTTTAATTACATCTCTTTTCTTAGAGAGTTTTCATTTTGTCCTGTGATTAAAAGATCTTTGAACTGTTACTGCTTCAACATATTACGTTACACTGCTACAATATGGAACTCCTCCAAAGAAAGTTTTCACCTCGCTTTAGGGTCGTGAATGTTCTAGTCATGTCTAAGAAATCACAAGTAGATATTGAAATATAACAAGATTCTTACCGAGTTCACGTCGCCTATTGCTTTTTAAGAGGCAAAAGTTTGACGAAACTTGGACCTCAGGGCACTTCGATGCTTCTGGTAGCTGAAATCAACGGTTACGTAAGACCCTTGACGTATATTTGTGTTCCAGCAACTGAATTGCGAAATCTATGCCAAGTTTCTATCGTTTCGCTTTGCGACAGACATCTAATTTGCTTTTGCGAAATTTGAAATTTCTAACTGTTTATTTGGTTTTTGATCCACGTTCTACTAATACTAATTAAACAAATATTAAAACAAGAGGAACTTTAAGCCTTTAAATTACGTTAGATTTTGAACATGTAACGGAAATGTTAATAATTATTGTTCATAATTATATTTAACTGTGTACATGAAAAATGTTTTGTGTATGTACCTACTTCTAAAATATTTCTTAAATAGAAAACAAATTATTCATGAAATGGTTATGATTTTTTTGCCAAATTCAATCTACATACGTTATCTTCTCTCTTCTCAAGAAAACAAATACATGACAGTGCGTTTCCCAGGTGCTTTCTGTGCAGTTACCGCCTGCTGCATACTGACAAAATTCAATGATTTACATTGATAATTTTATATTCAATGATAATTTTATATTAATAATAATAGTAATAATAATAATGCACACACTCAACATATTATCATTGAATCAGCATATTAATATTGAACTAGTATAAGCACTACGGCATTAAGAAAAGTAGTAAAATTTTTGTTTGCGGTACTATAAAAGTACCGTCTATGAACGGGTTAATAACGCAACCGCTATAGGCTCAAATGTGTTTCTTGGTCCGAATAGAACCACTTATTTTCCCGTGGGCTGTTCTGAATTAAATTTAGTGTTGTTGTTGAAATGTTTGTAATGATCGGAAAGACTTTTGGACACAAAGTAGTAGAAATAGTTGTTTAAAAGACAAGACTGAGCTGAAGATGTGGAATATCAATGCCACCACGCTGGTTTTTTTACGCGGTTACCCTGTTCACTTACCTAAATAAATAGGATAATTGTAGTTGCCTAACTATATTAACACCCATTAGCCAGACACCATATTGTAATTACATCCCACATTTCATCAAGTAATTAGGTTCACCGTCACACGTAACACGGTTTCCGCTCAAGTTTGTTTTACGAGAAGCATAAAATATATGAGAAGGTAGAGTAATATAAAATTTTAGGCTTATATCGAGTTAAGAACTCGAAATTTTTGCGATTGTTACTCATAGGAAACGAACTGTTTTTTTACATTGAGACGTTTCTGACTGGTCAATCAGGTCCGAAACGTTGGTTTGTTTGAAAAAACAAATAACACTATTTAGATGCGGAAAAAATATTTTCAATTCCTAAGGAAGACTTCTTTCAGATAAGACTTTTAATAAAATATACTCTTCTCACGTTTCCGTTATATGAAATAGTACCATGACATATATTAAATGTAAAACTTATGTGCATGAATTTATGCATTAAGGAAATTCTGTACGAAGGTTATATTATTATCAGACTGAAATTTCAATACGCTGTAACATGTAAAGTGCACGCTTCTGTAAAATCAGATTTCATGTCATTTAAAGCCGACCTTAGAGGGTCAGGCAAATCTTCTATTTGTATGTGTATACGGGTCTGAGTTTCGTAGGTTCCGAAAACAGACCAGTTATTACTTTTGAAAACTCTGATATTTGAATTGGTTCTTGTGTTAAATTATTATTTATAATATATTTGCAGCCCTACGTTTGCGAATCGTCATACGTCATGTTGGAGTACGCAATTTCGGTTATGTTCATGTGGATGTTTATCGAGGGTTTGTACTTACACAACCTGGTGACAGCTAATGCACTAAGAGAGAGGATATCCCATCTATTTTACTACGCCACAGGGTGGGGATTGCCTCTCATTGTCACAGCTGTATGGGCCACGATGACTGCCTTGCATTATTCTGAGGAAACAATCAAAAGGTAAGTCACTTTTTTATGGATAAACTAAATGCGCATTTAACCTCCATCTTTGTATTTGACTCTTGCACGTGCCGTATTTTTACGTACTTATTATATATAGTAAGTTAAAAGAATAGAAAAAATGAATAAAAGTAATCGGTAAAAAAATCAACTAAAATTCTTATTCATTTAAGTATAGTTATTTTTTTTCAATATCACTTGTTTTACAGTGAAATTATAATTAAAATCTTTGGTTATCACATTCGCGCGAGCTACGCACCTACTGTGCCACCCTAAACGTTAGTAAATGATGTAAAACAACGTACCAAAGTCGTTCAAATTCTTTTATTTCATCGAATGAACTTTACAGAACGCTATTTAGTCATACAATATCTTATTAGAGACGTCATTGCTTTACAACATATCAAAATATTGAATCTCTAGCGACATGCAGTATTGAAACTTGACAGGATAAGTAAGCGCTACTCACACATTTATAGACGTCAACGTTTATTGACATCAATGTCATTATTTGTTACATTCATTCAATAGCCTGTAGACGAATCGTTTATAAACGTTTGTTTGCATTAATGTATGAGAAGCATGTCAGCCACAGCGCATCAATTAGCAAAAGCACGATGCTCTCGCGAGTGTGTTAATCGGCGCCTTCTGATGTCCTTTACGTTTCTCGTATAATTGTGGCATATTTTAAATCACATTAACGCATTTGTCGTCAAGATTCTGGCTCGAGTATGATATGTGGATAGCTGTTTTTCATTATTTATTCAATCAGTTTCAACATGAGGTACTTCAAAAAAAGTTTGTTATTTAAAACTTAAATGCTGTTTGCACAAAGTACAGCACTTATTTAACGGCGCGAGGTTAAACAAGTTTAATTGATAACGATCTGAAAGTTATTTCACAATCCTACATTCGAGTACACAAAATTGTAAAAGGTGTTAAGCATAGAATAAATAAACAATATTGAGGCACAAATTTCGCGGCATCGTACTATATTTATTTAGTAAACTATCAAAGCTTTTGTAATAAACAACTGTCTCTAGTAATAAATACAATTAGAGTTTTATGTTACCAAGGGACGGGACGAATACATCGTGCGCCTTGTGGTAAGCGACACGCCTGTCCATAGCAGTTGCAGTGCCACTCAGAGCTATTAATCGCAAAGATCTGAGGGCACTACCACTGCGCTCGTTAACCTGAGACTACAGCTTGGCGGCAGAAATACGTAAGGTGGCAGTACTTCTCTGTACGAACTCTTTCACAACGAGCGCTGCTGTTCCTCTCTTCTGTCTGCCATTTGTGACATCAGATCAGCTCCCGCTCACCAAAACATTTTATATTCATCGGAATTACATCTAAGTGCCAAATTTTATTGAAATCAGTGAAACACAATAAACCAGATTAATCGTCAAATTTACCATCGTTAAAACATACAATTTTTCGGACCGCTATGCGGTACCCCTTTTCCAACAAAAAACATTCATTGAAATCGGTTTACAAAAGTCGGAGTAATCACTTACATACACACACACAAAAAATACAGTCGAATTGAAAAGTTCTTCCTTTTTGAACTCGGTTAATAAATTACCTACTACAATATAATATACTCCCGGTTGTTAATGTTGATCTTATTTAACGAAAACGTTTTTGACGATAAGTCTATTGGAATACCTATTGAATTTCTTGCCATTGCAATTTAAAATGGTTTTGTAATGTAGATGAGAGAGCTAATGCACGAAAATTATAATATTGTATTAAAATCATTTCGCACCCCTCATGTTTTTATACTCTTCAAGTTTTCATTTTGTTTTATTGCTTGAGAAGGAAACAACCGTTCTACCTTCAGGATTACTTTACAGTAGCTCTGACTGATAGGTATAAAGAACTCATTTAGGGTATTAAAAAAAAACAAGCAATGGATTCAAAACTTCGGTTCGGAGATTTGTAGAACTCCGACGATATTTATATTTCGCTGATTATCTCAAATTGTAGAAGGAGATGTAACAGATTTTCTAGGAACGAATCGCCATGTGTTTGTTATATACAATTTGTTTCCATAAAACATCTCAAGTGACATTGCACAACAAGGTCGTATACAATGAGATAAAACGTCGTTCTCGCTTGTAACGAGATGTTCAACAATGCAATTTTTATGAGACTGCATGTCCCTTTCAGCCACCGGATAATAAATGTGAAAGGACCTACTTTTTTTAAAATTATTGCTGGCCATGGAAACAAAGTCCTTCAGCCGAAAACATAAACGTTTAATTATATTTCTGTAAATATGGCCACCACAAAGAGAATAGGCAATTTGAGGCGGCGTGCTTGGATTGACTCGGGATTCCTTAGAACGGGCCGATACGGGTATTTTAGTTCGAGATTCGTATAATTTCGCGTTTTAATCTTCGATTAAGGCACAATAGCACTATCCTATTCCACTTTAAACTAGATTTCACATTGAAAGTCAAAATAAAAACGACACTTTTCCCTCCAAAAGGCCCAGAGCGAATCCCGAAAGGACCTACCTCTGAACAGTGTGCCCATACGTTTATATTATTTGTATTATTCAAGGTGTTCACATTAGATTTCCTATTATTACTTTTTCCATACAATGTTTAATAGTTACTAGTTTCAACATTTCTTCAAGTTGTACTTCAAATACGTTTCCCTATCTACTTACTATTAGACCGATGTGTTGCTATTACTACATATCATCACGCCTGTCTCCCACCGGTGTAGCCAGAGACCATGGATTTCCACCTGCTACGCTCCTGACAAACTAGTGATGAAAGTGACTCAGTCTTTTAAGACCTATTAAAGAAACTCGACAAATTTTTACGCCTCGCGACTAGAATAGTCTTTTAATCCTTAAATCTTGAGTCATTGGACTAAAACTGAAGAATAATTTGAGTCGAAGTCTTTTAACCCCAGGAATTAAAATCTACGTAGTTACTTAAAAGGTTTATAGGACTAAAAGCATTGGCAGCTAATAGTCCCGGGTCAGTCTCGATATATTATTATTACATATATTAAAATATTTTTATTCAATTAATCAGTCAAGAACTTATGAACAAGTTATTGTAACATCTACCTTTGTCCACTCACACATTATATAGGGGAATATTTTTACAGTTTGGGGTAGTGTTTATTGAGGATTAATTAAGGTCATTCAATTGGAATTCACTGGAACCGTTCATCGAGTAGTTTCTATGTAAAAAAAGTTAACAGTATATTTTAGTATATACTAAATCTATGGTTACGAGTCATGTAAGACACGTGTCTTTGGTTACGGTCATTCAAGTATTCCTATATTACAAATTTAATGTATGTTATACACATACAAAAAGGTTGAATACAACACACATGATTATATGCAACATACTACTTCATTTTTCTTTATAAGCGTCGGCTTCAATAAGATATAAAAGAGAAATAACTAAATTGCATATTAGCAGCTAGTGCTGTTTTTCAATATCATGCATGAATAAGGTGTGAATCTTTTTAAAAGTAACTCGAGTCGTCGAATCTGTTAAGGCCCATTTAGATGGAGAGAGTTTCTTGTCTCGAAGTTGCGATTATCGAAAGAACATAAAAAACTTTCCTCGTCTAAACATACGCGATTATCTTCCACGTGAGCGACACTCGCCTCGAATTTGGATATTGTACTCCTTCGTGTAAACAGAACTTGAAAACAAAAATTGTGTTTCGAGTTTTTGGGCCAGTCAGTCGCTACCATGAGTGCAGTGCGCAAGGAGTGCGCAGTGTTAAATAGAAAAAAAGTTGGGTTAAAAATGTTATAAAATTAAAAAAATATATTAAATATTATAAAAAATGTATTTAGAGCAACTTAATATTATTAGCAGTTCCGAATTTGAATGATTTTTGCAACATTTTGATATATCCACAGTCACTACCGCAGTAATCACTGAACTCGAATGGCAGGGAGCCTACTATGAGCTCTTAGAGCAATCGTATTTAACGTACTATTTCAACAATCAGTTTTTTTATAAACATTTTTATTTATTTATTTATTTTCTTAATGAATGGCTTGTGAGACTACTTAGTCTCAATTCTGCCAGTGTCCGTTTTCTAGTTTCATAAACGTTATGGAGGGTGTGTTAGAATTTTGTTCGGTGACTCAGAGGTAGAATCGAAGAGATTTTTGCACAAATTGAATTCTAGAACAAAATAGACAAGTCGTTAGAAACATGTATAATATGTTAAATATAGTGTTAGTGCAACATTTTTATTCCGTATTTAATATTTTTATATGTTGACATTGATTGACAGATTGTTGCCCTTTTACCTTAGACTCTATTCTTTTACTTTTTTCCATCCTCTAAGTCCTCTACAATCTATTCTTCCATAGATTATTCTATAAATTACTCTTCCTTTGATATGCAATCTTAACAGTAGAAGCGTTCCCGCTCCTGACTGCTCTCATTTTGGCTCTTCATTTCAAATTCAAAATTGGCGATTCGAATTTCGATGCTCTCTCTCGCTCTACCAAATGCTCGTGATTCTTGTACTGACCTTGGATGCATCTGGTCTTCACCAGACCTAGTAAATACACGAAGTCTCACCTTTTCGAAACCCTACACCTGGCCTTACTCCTACTGCGCTTACGCGTCTGGCTGATGACCAGTTCCTCGATTGCCTCACGCTAAACCTCGTCTTCACGTTACGCTCCTCCTACCTGGACTGTGTTCCTCACTTCACTAAGTGAGTTTGGAGCGGCAGGAGTGACTGAAGCCGACGCTCAAGATGAAATAGAACTCCACCTCCGATTACAAAGTGATAAAATCCACTGCTGCACTACAGCCGCTGTCTAAAGCACTATGCTTTCTCCAACAATACGAAGCAAAGACTAAAAAATAATAATTAAAGTTAAAAGTACTATTTGGCATGTTAAGATGATTGCTGAAAGAAAACGGTTATTGTTTTTCCAGGATTATTGATTGTATATAAAAAAATATTCAATCCAAAAATGACCACCAAGCCACTTTATTTTTTTAACCTACGTACTATTACTAACTAACTACATACCCAAAATGAGGTACAGATATCGTTGCCAACTCTTAAAACTGAAAAGTCAGATAGACTAACCAGTTTAGTCGGACATTTGGGTAAAAAATCCGGACACCCTAAATTTTTTAAGGATTTTGCATCGTCGTTTTAATGCAATAGTTTTTTGAAATGTAAAACTAGGCTTTTATGATTATTTATTACAAAATCTTCATAAATTCTGATTAAATGACAATATTATTAAATAAATCAGTCATCTATTATTGCAATGGCTGCCCATCGATCAAATGAAACAAAATAAAACTGTCAAATTCGACTCATCCGTAGAACAAATACCTATGTGCAAGATGCTGCTTATTCTCGCGACATTGTACATTTCGTTTGTTGTTCTTGACTGCGGATATCCACACTCAAGATCGACTGTTGTTCGATTTTATATTTCCGAAACGAAATAATAAATACATAAAAAATCTGAAAACACCTTTATATAGGCCTGTTGAATAACGAGATTATGTTTTAACCTCTTTTCGTTGTATAATCACATCGCACTTTGTTCTTCGGATATGAGTCGAAATATACAAAACCTAACGAAACGCGGACAAACCAGACACCGTCTAATTAAACCGAAAAGACTTACTACGTCCGGCTTTATCTGGACGCCTGGCAATGTTAGGAGTATCTCTATAATTAAACGCAAAAACCGTAGTTAATACCACAGGCAATTAGTTTTGTTTTTTCAATTTAACACAGTTCAAACGCTGATGCCATGCCAATGGGCAAGTTAGTTGGCTTCATAACAGTTTTTCTTAATTCTGTTTAATTTATAGTAGATAGATTTAATTTTAAAAGTTACTTATACACAATTACAATAATTATACATATATGATACATCTAGTATCATTTCCTTGCATTAATTAGGTAGAGGTCTATTTAAACCATAGCGGTACAAATGTGTAAACATAAATTGTTTACAGGCATTTAAAAGCTAATAATTTTGATTACTTAAATGTTTGATCCCAACACTCGTAATAGTTTTTTTAATTTTCTGTTTAAGTAAAAACGATATATTAATGGAAAAAAAGGAAATATAGATAGAAGAGGTCATGAAATTTCGACCAAACGTTATTTCTGGAAAATGTCATTTCGGGCTGCTGATAGGTAACCGTGCAAAATACATACTTGCAATTTCGTGTGAGATTGTTGTTTTTATTTTCTTTAGACTAAACGTTTGAGTATCGAATAAAGCAATTATAAAATTAATTGGGAAATAATTCTGAGAAGTGTTGTGAGTGGAAAAAAATCCGAATGTTCAAAAAACTTACGGTAAAAGCTTTTGCACGTTTATTCGGTCGAGGTGGACCTTGACGATAATGTAATATTCCGTTGCTGTCGCTTTTTAGCATTTGTACCTATAATTTTATGTATATTGCAGTTGCTGGTATGGTTACAACTTTTCACCCTTGTACTGGATTGTCCAAGCCCCCCGCCTGGCAGTCATAATGGTAAGTACATGATAATATGTTATTAATGTCACATTATTACAATTTATAATACAACGTCAAGGGATAATACGATCGATATTAACATAAACAATAATAATTAATATAAAAGAAAATATTATAAGGTTTTATTTTTATTTATATTACTAATATTTTTATTAAATTTTCTTATTATATTATAAAACTTACATGCTAACAGTTATGTAATACAATTAGTAAGCTTATGCGAATACTGTAGAGTTATAAGTAATTAAAATCTTGAAACACATAGTTAATTTTACAAATTTATACGAGCGTTTTGATACTAAAATATGTTCGAGCATTAAAAAAAATTAACCCTTTTTTTCTTCTTAACGAAACAATAAATAAAAGAGCAAGTACATCCAAATAGCAATATGTGTAGCAAAGTCTTGGGGGCACAGGCGAGCTGTCACAAACTATCTTGTTATGCGCGATATGTAGATATCATAAGCGATACTCGCGATGCCACAGCGCGGTAGAGATTTGATTCGACTCACTCATACTCACTCCGCTGGCTCAGCGACGTGGGTCTTGGCTTCCGATACGAGTTGGCGCCAGCACGATCTGTCTTGTGCGATCTCCTCCCAGTTCTCTACGTGCAGAGCGCGAAGGACTTTCTCCATTTCGTCCCTCCATCATCGGTATTTGAGCCGACCAAACGATAGTTGGCCTCTAGGGCGCCTCCCGTAGGCCCTTTTCACCGCCCTACTAGCGGGTATCGTAGAATGTAGGTATAGGAAACTACACTTTTCCGTTAGACTATATAGTTATATACTTACAAAATTAAACGGGTTAAAAAGTTGTACAAATTGCTTTTATAAAAAGTTTTATCTACTCTTCCATGTTGTTTAATGAACATCAAACCACAAAAACGTTTCTCGAATAAATTCTAAATACGCTCTCGCTCCATGGCTAGTAGACATAGCCACCAATTTGTCAATTAACTAACGCCCTCGTTTATTTTGATTTCAGATTAATATGGTTTTCCTTTTGAATATAATGCGAGTGTTAATCGTGAAGTTGCGCAAGAGTCAAAGCAGCGAAGTCGAAAAAGTTAGGTAAGTAACTACACAGTGTATAACAGAAAAGGGCAGTGGAAATTCAATTACTCCATTCAAGTCTAAGTACGTTAATTTAATTTATTAAAAGTACGATAATTTGTAGTTATCGATATTTAGATTAAGCACAGTACATATCACTAACCTCGTAGCATAGCTTAACGTAAACACTTATTTTGAATTTAGTAGACGATGTCAAGAGTTTTTTTAATGGTTGAGTATTTTAGAATAATAAACATATTTAAGCCATAAGTTGGTATACCATTAGTATATTCCAATCAATTTTAATAAACTATGTAAACAAACATGTTTATTATAAAATTTTTAGAAATCGATTAATAACTGATTTTATTATTTAACTGTTAATAGTTATTTTGATGTATTACGCTAGCAACGATCGAAACGTTTTTCATGTTCTAGGTTAAGAACACCGTCAATTTTACAATTCAAATTAAAGTCTAAATCGCTTACGTTAAAAATGGTCTAAAGTTCACACTATCAAGCTAGATAATGTTCTTGACTTTACTCCGCTTTCTACCAGTTATCTCCACGATGGTCAATATGCGGAGTTTAGTACAACCCGTAGAGATTATAATTTTCTAAACTTCACTCTTAAAGTACCTTCATCCAGTATTCTTAAACTGTAATCAGCATCCAATTGCTTTTTTTTCTTTTCTGACTATATACAATCCACAATATTTTATTCCAACTAAATACTAAGCAAAGTCTTATTCGGACTAACGTAAAAACCCTCTCATAAATACCGCTAAATTGTGTCAATAACCGACAATTTGTCCCATCATTATTGCACTGAGTTTCCAACCCTGACGTTGGCGGAATCTTGCGTAAAATACGGAGCTATGTCCACACAAAATTTGACTGGAGTAAAACTAAATACATGGAAATTAATTCAATCTTATCGTTTTAGCAATTTTAAGTAAGAAGTTAATTAATAATTAAATGGAAATAACATGCAAAATCATGTTGTTTGACTATGATTTTGAGAATATGTTTCAATCCGGGCTGTGTTTTGCGGTGATTTTTTCAGATATTTCAGACATTCAGATATTTGCTTTCAATATTTTCTACCGTAAAGTGTACAATAATATTACGTCATGATAAATGACGTCTTTCCATCGCACACAGGAAAGCAGTACGTGCGGCTCTTGTACTACTCCCTCTACTGGGGATCACCAACATCCTAAACATGATCGAAGCGCCTCTCGACGGAACAGTGTGGGAATTCGGCTTATGGAGCTACAGCACCCACTTCCTGCGCTCGTTTCAGGGATTTTTTATAGCACTCATCTATTGTTTTCTCAACGGTGAGGTGAGTGGTTAACTGACTAGTCTGTTTTAAGAATGTTTGCTTTGACATGAGCCCAAAAGGACAATAATATATTTAAGCTTGGGTGACTTTACTTAGTTTCCGTATTACTTTTATTTATTTATGAATTTATTTAAAAATAAGATCGATGTAGTTTAAAACGCTACTGATTATGAATACTTTTTAGTAAAACGACTCTACATATGCGAACATCGATATATTTGTATTATTTTTAGTATAGCAGTTTGTTTTGTTTTCTCAATCTATTGGCTGGTTTTAACTACATCCACAAACCGAGATGAAATAAATGCAGCATAGTGTGTATGTAGGTTGAGGGTGTCTTATGAAAAGAGCTTTTTTCGTCTACTTCTATTATTTTTTAAATTTAGAATTAGATTTCGGTACATAGACTGTTTGTTGACCTTTTTATTTACAAAGAGACGTGTCGTGCCAAACATTTACCATAGTCATTGTCAAGCTACGAAAGTCTTTGGTACTTTGAAATAAAGCATGTAAACATGTGAGGTCATTATAAGTAGACATCACAATCATAATGAACCCATTTATACTTTCCACTGCTGGGCACGGGTCTTCTTTCAGGCGTCGGTTTAGGCCATAGTTCATAAAGCTGGAGAAGACACATCACATGTTTTTTCGTTACCGAAAGCTCATGGTAAACTTAAAATTAAATTTCGCACATGCATTCCGAAAAACTCAAAAGCGCGCGTATTCGAACCCGCGATCTCTGCTTGAGAGGCGGCAGTACACGGTTATATACAATTGAGTAGGTACTGATTAATAATAACAAACAATGAGATGGGTTTCTTTCTAGAACTGTTTTATGAAACAATTGAGAAATTCTTGCAATCCTTTAAAGCAAAGTACCTACTCAGACAGATTAATAGCTCGATGCGATGCGAACGTTTCAGGTGAATTTCTTTGTAAAATACTTCGAAACCTTCATTTTAGTGTTTGTTTTCTTCCTTCCATCCAGTGATTGAAACTATATTGATATTAACTCTTATTTACTTACTAAATGTTCAAATGCCGCGCATTTCCATTTATTCTTATTTTGTAAACATTTGTGTCATTTAAATGCTATTCAATATAAAAAGCGATTTAAAAAAAACATGTTTTTTAATAAGTACAGTGATTTCGCCTGGCCTTTTGTCCACTTCAAGACGGGTCCTTTGCGCCATAATGTAAAAAATAAGGCTGACTTCTCAAATCTCGAGGACTCGTAACGGGGACTCCGCAAGTCACCACCTTACGTATACTTTGATGCTGCCCAAGGAGCACATCTATATCTAAATAAAATATATATTCTAATGTAATTTAATTCCATTGTCTATATTAGGAAATAAATATTGAAAATGGCTACAACTTTATTAGTAGATCACATGAGTAGTGTTAATGGCTATAGGTAGTGTTAGGAGTGATTATTATCTAGAATGTTACAAGACCATTTCCAGAGCAGGATTTACTATTGTCTACTCTATTCTATTCCATTTCCTTAATGGCGGACACTAGGCATGGGCCAGTGTCAGTTTCGATTGTATGCTCCATCCAACCATTTAACTTTTGATAGCTCGAATTGTAATCAATTAGTGATGTCCTAATGCGTTTCCGATTCGATTTTTTATAACAATCGATTTTATTTATGAAGAAGTTTTAATCGTGAATGGCTCACATTCACGATTAAAACTTCAAAAAAGAAGATACCGGTAGCTAATTGTACTGCTCCGTATTATTTAAATGATTTATATTATATTGACCAATAACTAATTGACGTATTTAAATTACTAAATACTAAGGGTAATAAATAATATAAAATTGTGACATAAAAAGTGTAGATAATGGCTTCTACAAAAGCTAAACTTATGGAGAATTGTTCTGACGAAAGGTTAGTGGACGTTCTTGTAAATATGAAAAAGATAATTGTGGAAATGAAAGACAAAATAGACAGGACATATGATATAATTGAAAACCAACAACGAATTTTTAGCCGTGGGGCGACGGCTTAAGAATACATTGTCGCGTCCCCATACATGCCCGTGGGGGTCGTAAGAGGCGACCGAGGGCGTCACAAGTGTCCATCTGCTTAGCGTTGTGGTAGGCTTTGTGCCGACTGGATAGCGACCACAGTACACACGGCGGAAAACCCTCCACAGTGAAACGCTTTTGCGAATCGCGTTCAGGGATCAGTTGGTGTACATCCAGTGCACGTGGAGTTTTCGGCGCGGTATCTGGGAGGACTGAGGCGGATATTCGCCATGTCACTTGTTGAGGGATATCTAGTTGACCTGCCGCCCAGGGAGACCCGTAGAAATGGTTGTCCGCTGGCCTCCCGCGGTACAGTACAGGGGCTCAATAGGGACTAACTACCCCTAGAGGCTGCCCCACCATGACGCGCATAATCTTGGGGTAGGTCGTCGTGCCGGTTAGTGACCGGAATATGGGGTCCCGGCGGCATATCCCGGGGGGGTACGGGGGCCCTTCCGTTCGGCGGGTCAGCCGGCTATCCTTCAAAAGATCAATGGCATGTATTGCAGTTCCCCTCGTTTTTCTTCTTCGGTGCGGTGCCGAAAGCTTCAACTCTTCACACTACCGTCCTTCTTACCCACCATGACAGCGCAACATAAGAATGCAGATCGTTCAGCGGTGCCTAATGGGGACCACCGCGTTTATTATTGAGTTCGCTAACATCCGCGGACTCCACTCCAACCTCAAAGCTGTCCACCATCACCTCCAGACAGCCCGGCCTGCCCTGCTTTTCCTGACGGAGACGCAGATCCGCCGTCCGAATGATATGAGTTACTTGAACTACCCCGGCTACTCGCTTGAGGAAAACTTTCAGGCCAAAGCCGGGGTATGTGTATATATTCGTTTGGATGTGTGCTGTCGCCGTCTGCGCTGCCTGGAGGACCCCTCCTTTTCCACTATGTGGGTGCTCGTAGAATCTAGTTGTTCAGCTAGAGTCTTCGCGTGCTTATATAGATCCCACAGCGGGGATGCGGAGACAACTAGGCTCTTTGACCAACTGAGCCATGCGACTCTTGACGCGCAGGCGCAGTTCCCATCTGCGGAGATGGTCGTGTTGGGGGACTTTAATGCTCACCATGAATCATGGTTGAGTTCCCTCAAGACTGACCATGCAGGAAGAACTGCCCACGCTTTCGCTCTCACCCACTAACCCAGCTCACCCGGGTTCCAGACACATCGGATCATGCACCCTCTTTGCTTGACCTTCTGCTCGCGAGTCACCCCACCTACTATACAGTATCAGTCAGCGCCCCCCTGGGAAGTTCTGATCACTGTTTGGTTGGGTGTAAGGTTTCCCAAATGCCTCCAACTAAGCTGAAGGAGGTCACTCGTCGCATTTGGCACTACTCGTCGGCGGATTGGGATGGTATGCGCGACTACTTTGCGTCCATCCCTTGGTTGCAGCACTGCTTTGCAGGAAAGGATGCCTCAGCAGCTACCGATGCTGTTATCGATGAGATTGGAACGGCTATGGATTACTACATACCGTCTTCCAGTGTCATCGCCAATTGCAGAGGACGCCCTTTGTTCAATCGCGAATGCATGGACGCTGTTAGTGAGAAACAGGCTGCATATCGTGGTTGGATTAAGGGTCGTGTAACAAAGGATCCCAACCTTGCGTCCCTTAAAGCAGCCTATAACAAAGCAACCAAGTTTTGCAAGAGGGCTTACATAAGAGCGGATGCCCAGCGCGTTTCACGGATTGGCCAGAAGCTGGTAGCCCATCCCACCGGTAGCCGTGCCTACTGGAGCCTGGCCAAAGCCGTGCAGTCCAATTTTTGTCGTTCGTCGCTGCCGCCTTTGAGGTATCCCAATGGATTTTTGGCCTATGGCCCCGAAGAGAAAGCCAATTTATTGGCCGACCTTTTTGGGGCTAACTCGCTCATTCACGACCAAGATGCGCAACCGCTGTCAATTCCCCACTGCGGAGTCACAATGCCTGATATAGTTATCAGACAATGTCATGTCCGCAAGGAATTGCATACTCTTGACGTGCGGAAGGCCTATGGTCCGGATGGAATACCTCCTATCGTCCTTAAAAGGTGTGCGTCGGAGTTGTCTCCCGTACTAACGCGCTTATACCGCCTCTCATACCAATCTGGTAACGTGCCCCTAGCTTGGAGGGAGGCCAACGTGCAACCTATCCCCAAGAAAGGAGATCGGTCTGATCCGACAAACTATCGCCCAATAGCTGTCACTTCAGTGCTCGGCAAAGTGATGGAGCGGATTCTAAATATCCAGATAATCCGGCACCTGGAACGTCACTCTATTCTTAATGATCGACAGTACGGGTTTAGGCCGAACCGATCAACGGGTGACGTTCTAGCGTATCTAATGCATCTCTGGGGTGAAGCTATCGACAAACAGGGCGAAACCTTAGCGATAAGTCTGGATATTGCTAAGGCCTTTGATCGGGTCTGGCACCGTGGTCTCCTCTCCAAGCTTCCGGCCCGTATATGGTCTTCCCGGCCGCCTTTGTGAGTGGATCTCCGGCTTTCTGCGCGAGCGAAGATTGCGTGTCCTTGTTGACGGAGGCACTTCGCGGCTCGTGACAGTTAATGCTGGGGTGCCACAGGGTTCCGTGCTGTCGCCCACGCTGTTCCTTCTGCATATCAATGACTTGTTGCCTTTAGGCAACATTCATTGCTATGCAGATGATAGCACAGTGCACGGTTGCTATTATAAGCAATCGTCAAGCAGCCGGGAAGACCCTGAGAGAAACCGGGAAAAACTTACGAGGTACGAAGCAGCATGGAGTACTGTTCGCACCTTTGGGACGGCTCTGCCAAGTACTTGCTCGATGCCCTAGATGGACTGCAGCGCTACGCCTTCCGTGTTGTCAACGATCCTCATGTAACTGAGCATGCGGAGTCGTTACAGCTTCGTAGAGATATAGCGTCTCTTAGCGTATTCTATCGCCTGTACCACGGTGAGTGCTCTGAAGAGTTATTCAACCTTAT